CGCGGAATGGACGCGGAATGGACGGGACTTTCGTTGCTGGCTCGCCTGAAGTGAAGACGGGGCACAGGAGCGGTGGACGGAGCATGGTGCGTGCCAGGGAGTGCTTGCGGGGGGGTATTGAAGTAGCGTAGAGCGTCGCCGCGCAGAGGCAAGAGTCGTCTGTTTCCTTGCCTTTACCATTCGCCTCCTTTCCTCCTGCTTCTAACTCTCCCTTGTTGCGCCATTTTTGTGTGCTTCTCTCTCCCCATGCGTGTGTGTGCCTTACGGCCAGGGAGACAGAGGGAAATGGCACGGAATTGACGCGGATTGGCGCGGAGTGGACAGGGCTTTCGTTGCTGGCTCGCACGAGAGACAACCGTGCAGCGAGAAGAAGGATCAGCAACGGCACAGTGGCTCGTCACAGGGCAGAGACACAGTGGCGGTCGCGTGGTATGTACCAGTGGGTGCTTGCGGGGGGGAGCGTAGTGAGTCATAGAGCGTCGCCGCGCAGAGGCAAGAGTCGTGTCTCTTGCCCTTCCCTCCATCACTCTCCTGTTGCTGCTTCAAACCCTCTCATTTTGCACCGTTTCTGTGTTTGTGTCTGTCTCCCTCCCCATGCGTGTGTGTGCCTCACGGCCTGCGAGACGGACGGGAATGGCAGCGAGTGGACGCGAAATGGACAAGCTCCCAGTGCTGGCTCGCACACGAGACACAACTAGGAGGACTGGGCAATAATGGAGGGCACTGGTCGGAGCGGGGTACGTACAGGGGGTGCTTGCAGGGGGGCCGTGAAGTGAGTCGTAGGGCGTCGCCGCGCAGAGGCAAGAGTCGTGTCTGTTTCCGTTTCCCTCCACCATTCGCCGCCTCTCCTGCTGCGTGTAACCCTCCCTTGTTGCTCTGTTTCTGTGTGCGTGCGTCTTTCCACTCGTGTGTGTGTGCTTCACGGCCTGCAAGACGGAGGGGAATGGCAGGGAGTGCACGGGGGGTGACAAGCTTGCGAGCTCCGTTCCTGCACTGGTGCGAAGACACAACAGCAGCGCTGGTGAGTCGTAGCAGCGGTAGCAACGGCGCTTGTTTCATCAGCCAAGTATTTTCTCCTCCGCACGCTTTACCTTGTGTGATGCCAAGGGCTTATCACTTGTATTGCATGTTCTTCACTGCTTTCTCCTTGAAATCTCGCCAGTTGTTGGTTTTGGCTCAATTCAGAAGCCACAGACCCCGCCTGTTGCAGGTATCAACAGCAGACCACGAGCATCCTGGAGCAGCACGCTTGGAGCCTGGAGCACGGGCCGCAGCAGGGTGCTGCTTGGGCTGAAGGAGCTGCAGATTTTGCCAAGTAGGGAAAATCATTCAGGTGGATCATGGTACGTGCCAGGGGGTGCTTGCAGGGGGGCCGTGAAGTGAGTCGTAGGGTGTCGCCGCGCAGAGGCAAGAGTCGTGTCTGTTGCCCTTGCTTCCGCCACTCGCCTCCTGCTGCTTCTGACCATCACTCGTTGCACCGCCTCTGCGTGTGTGTGCGTGTCCCTCTCCCCATGCGTGCGTGTGTGTGCCTCATGGCCTGCGAGGCGGACGGGAATGGCAGCGAGTGGACGTGTGTGTGCCACTTGCCTCCTCTCCTGCTGCTTCTAACCCTCCCTTGTTGCATCGCTTCTGTGTGGCTGTCTCTTTCCTCGTGCGTGTGTGTTCCTCACGGCCTGCAAGACGGAGGGGGAGGGAGCGGATGGGGAATGGACGAGAGGCAACCATCCAGCGAGGAGGAACGGTGCCCTGATTTTCCTGCTAGGTTTCTCGTGAGTCCATCAGACCAACCAGTACACTGCTTCCATTCTCTGTGCTGTTGCGTTCTCGTTTTCAGTTCGGTCGTGTCTACGACCTCCGCATGGTGACCACATCTCTTTGCTGGTGTCTTGCCAGAATTTCATGGCACTCCTTTCAGCTCCCAAACCTCTCCACTAATATCGTTTTACTGTATGCAAATTTCATAATCTCTTCGTCTCGCTCCTCCCTCCTTGGCCTGGATGATGGGCAGGCCAGCATGCAAGGGGTTGTGATTCACCACGCCTGGAGAAGCACGCCTGGAGCACCACGCCTGGAGCAGCACGCCTGAAGTGAGGGCGTGGCGCAGGAGTGGGAGAGCAGCGAAGGGAGCATGGTACGTGCCAGGGGGTGCTTGCAGGGGGGCCGTGAAGTGAGTCGTAGGGCGTCGCCGCGCAGAGGCAAAAGTTATGTCTGTTGCTTGCGGGTCCACCACTCGCCACCTGCTGCTTCTAACCCTCCTTTATTTCGCTACTTCTGTGTGTCTCTCTCTCTCCCCCCATGTGTGTGTGTCTCTCTCTCCCCATGTGTGTATCTCTTTCTCTCCCCATGTGTGTGTGTCTCTCTCTCCCCATGTGTGTGTGTCTCTCTCCCCATGTGTGTGTGTCTCTCTCTCCCCGTGTGTGTGTCTCTCTCTCTCCCCATGCGTGTGTGTGTGCCTCGTGGTCAGCAAAAGGGAGAACAATGGCAGCACAGGGACGCCTGAAGTGAAGGCATGGCGCAAAACTGGGAGAGCAGCGGACGGATCGTGGTACGTGCCAGGGGGTGCTTGCAGGGGGGCCGTGAAGTCAGTCATATTGTGTCGCCGCGCAGAGGCAAGAGTCGTGTCTGTTGCCCTTGCTTCCGCCACTCGCCTCCTGCTGCTTCTAACCCTCCCTTGTTGTGCCTCGTACGTGTGGTTGTCTCTCTCTCCCCATGTGTGTGTGTGCCTCACGTCCTGCAAGACGGACGGGAATGGCAGCGAGTGGATGGGGACTGTGCATGTGCGCGTGGGGGAAAGGGCGGAAGGGGGGGTGGGGGCGTGCATGTGTGCGTGTGCAGGTGTGCATGCCTGCGAGTGTTCATCTCAGCCTTCAAGCTTTGGAGTGTGGCGGATTGCTCTTTGTGAACCTGCCTGCCCTTCGGTGGGGACAATCGGACTTTGTACTTTTCCAAAACAAGAGGTAACTTGGAGTGAAGATGCAGCAGCAGCGCAAATGCACCGTGTGTTGCTTTTTGTCCTAGTTCCTTTTCCAGCTAGCAACTCTTTCACATCCTCACGCCTCTCTTCCTCTGCCTTGCCAGCCCTTCTCCCCTCACCTCCCTTTTTCTGTTGTGCTATAATCATACGGTACCCATACGTCTCTGCTACTCTGTTGCCAGATGTTCATTCCCGGCTCTCAAACCCCTCCTCTCTTGCCCTCTCCTCTTCTCTGCTCTTCTCTCGTCCATCACCCGTACGGCAGCAGCATGGACAGCAGAGGTTGCAGCAGCAGCAGCTGTGGTGGTGGTGGCAGCAGTAGTTGCAGCATCAACGCCCACTGCAGTGGTTGCAGCTGCAGCAATGGACGGGTAATTACAGTCTACTTTATGCTTTCAAGTTCCATCTATGTTTAGCATCGCTAGAAGGAAGAAAAAGGAGGAGGACGAACCACTTATTAGCTGCAGAAGTAAAGATGATCAGACGGCAGAGAAAAGGTTGTGTATTGTATTCACGTGAGATCACGATTAGAAGACAAGCACTAAGTGAGAAATGTGCAATAACAAGGTCAGCAACTCCCCCTTGCAGAATCTCCCATCACACCTACCATGTAGATTACGCAGCAGTGCTGTTGCTGCCACTGCTTCCCACACAGATGCTGCCAGAGACAGCAATGGGACATGGAGAGGGGAGAAAAACAAGGTCGCAACAACATTCTGGAGAGACTGCGGTGTGTGTTGACGGGGACTCTTACCAGCCCCTCGCCACTTTTGCTGCTGAGCCGGGCTTTGGTCTCTACACTCTTCACACTCGCCCGCGCGCTCAGCAGCGACTGCAGCAGCAGCAGCAGCCGCAGCAGCCGCAGCAGCAGCAGCAGCAGCAGCAGCAGCGGCAGCAGCCGCAGCCGCAGCCACAGCGGCCGCTGTCCCACTGCTGTCTCGATGGCAGCTTCTCCTCGTGAGTGGCTCTTCTATGGTGAAGTGCAGGGCGAGGTGGAGGAAATGTGGGCTGCCGTTTGCTGGTGCCCATGGGTGGGTGGGCCGCCAAGAGCTCAAAATGGACCATTGCTGTGCTTTGCTTTGCTTATCTGTGCTTAGGTGTGCTTAGGTCTGTTTATGCGTGTTGCTCCGTGCTTCGCTAGGATGGGATGGGCCTGCATGTTGTGGAATAGGTGGGTGGGGTGGGGTGGCAGCCTGGACGGTGCCTGGGCACAAACACCCAAGCAGGATGGAGTGTCCTCCTTCAGGTGCTGTCCCTTGCCGTGCCAGGCACCCAGCGCGGAAGTCCAGGGCACTGAACGTGCCATGCATGCAGCATGCATGCACATACAGAAAAAGCTACCACCAAGAAGCCATATGACAGGCCAACCTCTTTCACACAATAGTGTGGATGGCAGGGACTGACAGGAAGCACGGTGGTCACAGATCGCAGGAACTGCAGTTCGGAAATGGTCCGGTGCTGCTGCCAGCCACCTATCAATCAGCCAATCGGACAAGCTGCCAAACCACTAACCAGCCAACCAGTAAACCAGCCTACCCATCCAGAAAACCATCACTCCAGCCAAACAGCTTAGGGTATTCCAAAGATACTTGCATCTTGACATCAAGCTTCAGCATGGCATCTGTACACTGGCAGTGGGCCCTGCAAAGTTGTTTATTCAAATTACACACTCCACAATGGCCCATACAGTCACCAATTAGACCCTACAGGCTACATACAGGACCAACATTACCCCTTCAGCACTTAGCTCTGAATGAAAACCAAAAGCTCTCAGAACCGTGAAGCACCGCAGCAACCAGTCTCGGCCTTTATCGCGCCACGATTTGTTGCTTGCAAGGCACTGTCCTCCCCACGCACACGCTTGAGGTCCCGTCACTTCACTCCATTTCACGTCTCTCGTCAATCTCACAATCGAATCAAAATTCTTCCGATCCACTTTCTTCTCTCGGCTCTCGCTGCTAGACCGACAGTCCGCACTTTCGGTCGTTCAGTCTGTAGGTCTGCTGCGCATCCGCAAAGAGCGGCCATGGCGGAACCCGAGGCGCCGCTGAGCCCCGTGCCTGTGCGGTTCGGCATCCTAGGTGCGGCGAGGATCGCAAAGAAGGTGGTGCGCGCGATGCGGAGCGTGCCGGGTGTCATTCCGTACGCCATAGGCAGCCGATCTTACGAGCGAGCCGCGCAGTTTGCTAAGGAGGTCGGCATGGCTGACGACGCCGCGATTTACGGCAGCTACGCTGACGTCATCGCGGATCCATTAGTGGACGCCGTTTATATCCCGCTGCCGACTGCGCTCCACGTGGAGTGGGTGGTGAAAGCCGCGAATCACGGAAAGCATATTCTGCTCGAGAAGCCCGTGTCGCTGAATGTGGACGATCTGAAGACGATGATCGCAGCCGTCGATTCGGCGGGCGTTCAGATCATGGACGGCACGATGTGGATGCACAACCCACGGGCAGCCGAAATGAAATCAGCCATGCAGGACAGAGAATCTTTCGGGCAGCTCATGCGCGTGACGTCAAATTTCTTCTTCCCAGGATCAGAGGAATTCATGAAGCGAGACATTCGGCTGAAGAAGGATCTAGATGGATTGGGGTGCTTGGGAGACATAGGGTGGTACTGTATTCGAGCGTCGCTCTGGGCTGCTGATTTCGAGCCGCCATACAAAGTGCTTGGTCTCCCTGATCCCAAGGTTAACGAAGAAGGCGTTTTGATTCGCTGCGGTGGTTACCTGTGCTGGCGAAACGGGTTGACTGCTCTTTTCCAGTGCGGATTCGATTCTCCTAGTAATCAGCGGCTTGAGTTTGCGGGCTCGCTCGCTACAATCACACTCGAGGACTTCACCATCCCCTTCCAAGAGAATAAGGTCGAATTTGTGATTGAAAAGGGGTCCAGGTGGCCAAATTCAGAATGGGGGGTGGAATCAATGGTGGAGAGGAGGGAAATCGAGCTGACGTGGACGCAGGAGGCGATGATGATTGCTGAGCTGGCGCGGATTGTGAGGGGAGTGAGAAAAGGGGGAGGAAAGGCAGCATTGGATCGGAGATGGGTGGATATGATGGTGCTGACACAGCGGGTGGTGTGTGCCGTGCATGACTCCATTGCACAGGGAGGGGTGCCTGTGCTTATAGAGAATGGTCAGGAGAAGAAGCCATGAGTGGCTTTGCTGAATCAAGTGTGTGCGCCCTGCATGACTGCATTGTCCTGCATGACTCCATTGCCCTGCATGGTATGATTGCCATCAAATCTGGTTTGTGTGCCATGCATGCATGCATGGCTCCATCATCCAGCGGCCATGGCCACATGAGTCATGACCCCAACTTTCTGCTGACACACTCCCGGTGTGTTGCCAAGCTGGGGAATCGCGTCTGGCTTCTGCACTTCGAAGCTGGGTACTTTACAGTGTGTTATGCTGATCCGTCCTGCAGTGTGGACAGGTGTGTGCTTGTCCCTGGACTACTTTCCATCACGTGTGCTCGCGGTCTCTCCTTATGGGACAAGCATTGCTGAATGAAACCACTGCCTTGGGCAGGCTTGTTTACCTGAAGCCTGTCGTTTGAAATCTGTTGCATGTACATACATTCCCAGAGGGTTTCGGTCCAGTTCAAAACATGGGTGAAGGAGCGCAATCAGTGAATTACTATCTAATTAGATACCCGTTCCATTTCATTGCATCGTTTTCCATATCAACCCTGCTGCTTCCATGTTCCCGCCACCCTAAACCGTATCATGTCAACGGCTGCAAGCCGTCCCGGTGACTGCTTGCATGACCCACGACGATTCATGCCAGCATGAAGGCAGGCACGCGCTTGAACCCACCGCCCTCTGCCATGCCAGTGCTAGCAACCTCTTCCAGCATGTCAAAGGCAGCACACCACGCGCCCTCCAGCTCCCCGTGCCACCGCTCCCCAAACGCCTTCTTCAGTGCCTTCATGAACCCCGTTCGGAACACCTGGTGGTGAGGGGAGTGAGAGGACAAGGGGGCCAGAAAGACGGTTAGTGATTCATGAGGCCTCAATGATCATGCATTTGTGCTCATTGGGTGACAAGAGAACGGGTGAGGTCTAATCTCGTCCCTTGCCCGCTTGATGCTTCTTCAGCTCTAGTGATCAGTGTCTCTCATTTCCACCCTTTCCTCCATTATGTACCAGCTTTCACACCCCCAATACCGTACTACCTTAATCCCTTTCCATCCTCACTCCCCAATCCCTATTCCATGCTTCGCACCGGGAAGTCGTTGTCATCGATGCCGTAGTTGAGGTGCCGCCCGCCCAGCGCCTTGGGGATTGCGCTGCCTTGTGTGTGCTCCTCTAACCTCCCCCAATCCCCCTTTTACCCCGCCATCATTCACTATTCACCACCGCACCGGGAAGTCGTTGCCATCGATGCCGTAGTTGAGGTGTCGCCCGCCCAGCGCCTTGAAGAAAGGCACCGACTTCTCCACCTGGGCCGGATCATCCCACTTGCAGAACGCCTCACACATCTGAGCCGGGAGGGGAGGGTAGGGGAGGGGCGAGGGAGGGGAGGGGAGGGGCGAGGGAGGGGTGGAGAGGGGGGTTGTAATGCACGAGAGTGTGTGTCCACTTGGGCAGGGTCGGCCCACCTGCAGAACGCCTCACATGTGCGTTCATCTGAGCCGCTGACCGCCAGACGGGTAGGGAGAAGGGGAGGGTAGGGTAGACGGGTGGGGAGAAGGGGGGGGAGGAGAAGGAGGCAAGGGGTGGGTGTAAGAGGGAGATGGTAGGGGGGGCGGAGCAGGGGTACCATGCGGAAGGACATGGCGGCATGAACAGTGCCATGCGGGAGGCCATGGTGACATGAACAGTACCTACTCATCCTTCCCTTTCCTCTCCAGCCGCCTTGCTCCCAGCACCATACCATGCGGAAGGACATGGTGGCATGTGCGTTGAGCTTGATGTTGACCGGCGCCGGCTCGCTTGACTCGCGCACCATGGAGAAGAGGCGCTTGGCCTCCGGTACCATGTCAAAGATGCTGGGGGGGGGGGAGGAAGAAGGGGATGGGGGGGAGGAAGAAGGGGTTGTAGGGCGGTTTAGAGGCGCCTCAAAAACAACCTCCATGCACCATGGAGAAGAGGCGCTTCGCCTCCGGTACCATGTCGAATATGCTGGGGGGCATGATGGGTGGAGGGGGGGAAAAGGCAGGTGGGGGCCCCAGGAGGGGGAGGGGGTGGGGGGTTGGGGTGGAGAGGGGAGGGATAGGTGGAGATAAAGGGGGGAATGGAGGTGAGGGATGAAGTTTTGGATTGTGGAGTGCGGTGGAGGTGTAGATGGGCATTGGTCTTACTGGTTGGGGGTGATGCAATCCAATGTGGGGTCGAGAGCATGTGTAACGCGCTGGAGATACATTACATCGACAGCTGCATCCGTACGTACGTGAGGTACATTATGATGGCATGTTTGTCCAGATCGGGCTCCAGCTCAGCGTACGACTCGCGTATCAACTCGCCCTGCAGACTCGTCAGCACCGTCTGCCTCTCAGCGTCTGCCACGTGGATGGGCGGCCCGTCCATACTGGGATCTGCGAAGCTGCTGATCTTGTAGCTCGGGATCGGCGGTCCACTGAGATCGTCGTCATTGTGATGCGGGAAATGCGACATGGCGACGAATGCGACGCGACGAAACGTCGCTCAGAAAGAGAGAAAGCGTCGGTGTGGGAAACTACCAGAAGTAGACCCGCGTTGGTGTGGGAACACGCTCTGTTGTAACGCCGCACTTGCTGCTACGCGCGTATCACGGCGAACTCGACATTGCCGCGGCGCCCGAACCACGACGCCGCATGGCGTGCGCGAGAGAGAAAGAAGCGTCGGTCGCCGTATATTTGAGGGCTCTTTGCAGGTGCAGCGCGATTCGATCAAGCGGCGACTCGGAGGATCTCAGAGCGTAGGACGTTCAGTTCGGAAGGTTCGGTTCGGTTTGAGAAGGAGAGCGAGGAGTGACGACGAGGTGAATAAATACAATATCTGTGCTTCGCGGTCTGCCAATAGCTTCAGCTGGCGCGACACGGAGTGCGAACTGGGCCCTAGTCTCAGCAGCAATAGGGGGTTGGAGAGAAACGGAATCGAGTAGGGCGAACAGCAAACTAATAACGGAGCACCGAGAGCAGCGCGGTGCCTCGAAGTCGGGTCTTAATACGGCTGTATACGGCCTGGTGAATTGCAGAGAGCGCTGTAACGGTGCAGTACGGTGGAAGCCACGGTTTGGTTCTTGAGCAGGCCACCCACCCACAAATGTGATGGATCAAGGATGAATGAAATTGCGGGAATGGGAGGGCACATACCGGTGTGCCCTTTTCAACAAATTACAGGGGGCAAAATGGGAGGAAGTTAACTTATATATCAGCTTCTCATTATAATATGCACAGGTTAACATGATAATAAAGGGCCACCGTGAAGGACCTCTACTAAAAGTGCTTCTAGGATTCTAAGCTTCTAGCATCTATCAGAGGGTGTTAGTCTAATATAGCGTATATGCTCCCCCTGAGCATGCCTGCTGCTTGCTGCCTTGGAGGTACGGTATATGGACACACACATACCACCATCCATCCCGATGTGCCATGTATATACGGTACTGTCACTTCTCTCCTGCTGCTGCTGCTGCCTACACAAATGTCCTATGCAGCTTCTTAGCTCGAGAAATGAAATTCTTCTCACTTCTCAGCTTGTTCCGCTCATTCCTGAAATCCTGTGAACCCCTCCAGGGGCCTCCAATCCACCAGCTTCATCACCTCCAGCTCAGCAGCCTGCAGGCGCTGAGCTGGCACGCGGGCAACCGCTGCCACGTCAGACGCCCTAGGCAGCGTCTTCTGGTTGTCGTCTAGCTTAGCGGCCGTCCACATGCACGCCGCTAGCGTCACCCTCAGCGAGTCAGCTGCCACCCGGCCGGGCTGGAGCTTTCGCAGAACCTTCTGGAAGATGTGGAACGCCAGATCGGAAACGTGCGGCCCACGAAGCGCCAGCCTGGCATACCAGGAGGAGAGAACACGCTTTAGCCGAGCAGCTGCAAGCTGCCCAAGAACATTCCGACCCTGCCCGTTCGCACTGCTTCCCCCCAGAACGTTCTGCGCCTCGGCCGCTACCTGCTCCTCCTGCCGGTGACGCTTTCCCGTGGAGGCGTCAGGTACCGTTTGATTCTCGGTACAGAGGGATTCGTTTAGATCCGGAACGACACCCGCTGCGTCGGCAACAACGCGAGACTGGGCGAGAGCGGGCTGCTGTTGCGAAAGAGTCCCGTTAATCAACGAAGGGGTTACAACACCACTTTCTGTCGCTCCTTCGCTCGGTGTTGCCGTTGGGAATAGCTGGAGGGTCTCCGGTGGCGAGGAGGAGGAGGAAGAGGAGGATACCGGGCAATGATGCTGTCCCTGAGTGGCTGTACCGAGGCTGTTCTGCGAAAGGGTTGTTCCTGCTAGGAGCAGCGAAGGGAGCTGCTGCTGCTGCTGCTGAGATTGCATCTGCGAAAGCTTTGCGTGGGGCGGGTACTGGGCAAACGCTAGAAGATTCCCCGTGTTGGTCTTGTGACGCTTGGCGAGAGACTGCGATTCAGGTGCGACGTTCGACGGGGGCGAAGGGACGAACGCAGAGCTAGAAAGCGCGGCTGCGTATGTGTGGAGGGGGAGGAGCGACGCAGCCATGCTCGCGCTCATCGCGCTCGGGGTGTGGAAAACCGCGTTTCCGGTAATGCCGCTAACCGCGCCCACGGCCAGACAAGAGTCGCACATAACCTGCGTTTGGGGCACAGCAGCGGGCTGATGGAACGGCGAGGGCGCCTCCCAGCTGGTGGGGCTGCTGCAGAGCGCGCAGAGCAGGTGGCGCGAGTGGCGGAGCACGATGAAGTTCGCGGAGTGCACAGCCGCGTCGCACGTCGCACAGAGGAACGCGGAATCCGCGTCGCAGCGGAGAGCGGCCGGCTGGGTGCACAGCTCGCAGGAACGGTGGGAAGGAGAGGCGCGGATCGAGGCAGTGCAGCCAAGCTGGGGAAAGGGGAGAGAGCTGAGCGTCGGAGGCATTGCTAGGAAAGGCTGGGATAAGCCGTTGCAGTAGGGATGTGTTGCGAGAGTAGCCATGTCTGAAGCTGGGAGGCTAGGAAGCGAGACTGGTATTTGGAAGGCCATAACGAGAGCGTTGGTGGAAAATGTGCCAAGGATTGAAGCGGAATGAGATTGTGTAGGAATATGAGGCGCGGAAGCTTATCAAATACCGAACACTGGCCGCTTGCCACTAAAAGTGGAGTGCGAAGAACAGAGAATGTGAGGTTTTGCGACCGTGGAGCGTCGGACGGCGTGCGGAAGGAGCGATGCAATCTGCTCGCTGGTTCCGACCAAGTTGCGGTTATGTGGCTTTGGGAGAAAGGCTGTGCGTATGTAGTCGCGCGAGCAGGATGGTTTGGTTCCGTTGGGAACGGATGGCGTAAGGCGACCACGCGGAGGGAAAGAAACGAAGGCGAGGGAGGAGAGCCTAAGCACGGCACGGTAGGGGTCGTTGAAGCATGTGGCTGCTCTTCGCTGCTGCGGCCATGATTTCAGCATGTTAGGTCTGGCTGGCAATGTGCGGGGTGGGGGTGTAGACTGTTACATGAGTCATTCCTGCCACCGCCATTTTCCATGTGCAACCATCATCACAATTTTCTCAGTGCCCTCTCTTCCTCTTTCTCGGAGTTTCGGTCTCCTTGGGCTTTGTTCTGTTGTGTGACTCAGCTTGCGTGTGTCTTGTTCTGGTGTACGAAACGAACCGTGATGCACGTGTCAGTTGGAGATTAGACCTCTTTTCATGGAACGGCCCTTCAAGCCACACACCCTTTTGGCTCTTCACCGAACCTCATCTCCTTCTCTCGTTCTCATTCGTCCACGGCAGGGCCACCTCGGCTCGTTGGGCTCATGTTTCGTGTGCTGCCTGCTGATGTGGTCCCTGCTTCGTGTGACCATTCTTCACCAGATAGCTGCATCCCCTCCTCGTACGCATACTTTGTGGAAAAATACAGCTGGGTCCCTGTAAAGATGCATGGCTGATGTCATACTTCGCCTTCACAACCAATACCCTGACCAGCTGACTCGGTGGTGCTGAGCATTTCTGCCACATCACCAATCCATTGCTGGAACTTTTGTACTACGTGGCCGCGCCGCTAATCTGCTGGTTGGACCTGTGTGGCTTAGGGAATGTGGAAACCGGAGTAAACTACGGGAAAGTTGATGATGAGAAATTGAGGGCCATTCGAAACGCGGCTTGGAGCTCAGTGGGAGCTGAGCTCGACCTAGATACTGGCCACACAAGCAAGACCAATCGGGTCCGTCCATCCTCGTGCTGATAGGCTTCATACACTTTTGTGACCTGCAGAGAGTCGAAACTCGCGCCTGTTCCTCTGGGACCGCAGACGCGGAGGATTCTGCCTATTCGTGTCGCTTTCCTGGAATATGGGGGTCGGACGAATGGTTTTGCTGGGTATCACGTGGAGCGCTACCGTGATTCATCGAGTCGCTTCTCTTGTGAGTGGTTGAGGATGAGGTGGCCCTTCTTTGGCTTGACAAGTTTGGAGGGAGCTCATGGTTTTGGGGCCAACATCATAGACATGCAAATTTTGCCAGGGCGATTTGCGAATGTATGCAACATTAATCCCCTGGAAGAAATCTGACGGAACGTTATCTGCCCGCGGTCAGAAAAAAAAACACGCGGACTAGGATGGCATATGACTAGGGAGCCTCAACCCTAAACACGCGGCTGGCCGACATTTTTACTCCGAAACCGTCAATTGCATACAATTGCACACTATCACTGGAAAAACCTGCATGACGGGAGCAATTGTCCGCATGGTTTTGCTCATGAGCTCATCAACAACCAAGGTGCTTCCCTGAAGGGCAGGGATATTCACGTGGGCTTGGCGACAGAATATCAGATGCCATATCTAGTCATTCTCAATGGGGCAGAATGAAGAGGTGTACAACCCAGACGGAAAGGCACTGAGGAACACTTTTCACCCCAAATTCTGTGCGTGTATTGGGCATCACGGAAATGGTGTGATGTTTGATGCCACTGTACCACTTTCGTTTGTAAGAAAGTATTTTTCCGTTTTCACGAGTCAACAGCATTCGACTTGCCAGCAATGTAGTCCTGACGTCACGCAAGATTTTGTTCATGTGACGAAGGGGTCCTAACCAATCAGGCTTCGTTATGAGCAAGAATCACGTGAAACAGCAATCAGACCGACACACGAATCGAAGCGAACCTAGCTGCTTATAAATCTGTCGCAATCATGACTCCAAATGGGGCCCGACTCAACCATGTTGAAGGCAATCGTCGCGTTGGGCAGCTAGCCCTTGCCCCTTCCCGACCACTCGTGATGCAGAGAGTGCACCTCAACTTCACCATCTGCACCACACTAACCGCTCCAGCTGATTGAAAGCGTCGCTTAGGGTTCATAACGCGGTAAGTTACAAATTCCATATTGAGAAATTATTACACATAGCTATACAGCACAATAGTGAAAGAAATTATTACACAATTCAAGGTTATAGGAGCACGGAGACTCGAAGACCATCATGAGCTAGTTGCACGTCTATGTCCTCCCTGAAGGTTGAAATGGGGACATGAAAATGAGGCAATTCAGTACCTATTCTGCTGCAAACATTGCCAGCACGTGTGTCGTCATGTCAAATGTGACTGCAGCGGTGAGTAATGAATCTTACTTGGTGGACCAGTCGCGAAGCAGTGAATTGACTTTGTGGTGGTCAAACTCATGAGTCATGCCAACCAGAAAGGCCCGCTTTGGCTTCAAATCTCGGACTGCCTCCAGGGTCTTGTTGGTGTGGTGTGGAAAATGATTAAGGAGCAACACGGGCGGGAGAAACAAAATTATACAGATTGAAACATTATTGGACAAGAAATGAACATGAAAAGGCACGACGTCAAAGACGGGTGTGGTGGGAGCATAGCAAGTGAGGAGAGCACCTGAGGAAGATGGAAGTGAGTTGCATGCGGGTGATCCTGCACACTCATCCCACAAAGAAGAAATAAGAAAGGTACATTATGTCACAAAGAAGAAAATCGCTCTGAGGGTCAGCGAACCGCAATTATCCTCAATGGAAGAAGCAGTAGCACTCGTTGGTCAATGTGTGAATCGAAGAACGTGGCACATGGATGGATGTTGGTTTTGGATGTTGGCTTTGGGAACGTACAAGATAGAGTGAGTCAATAACAAGAACGTGTATTCGACCCAAAAGCTGCTGCCTGGATTTCAAGTCTGAATAATCAGTTGATGCGGGAGGGGAAAATCGGGCAGCAGAGAGTATGCATGTGTGAGCATGTATGTGAGAGTATGCATGTGAGAGCATGTATGTGAGAGTATGCATGTGAGAGCATGTATGTGAGAGTATGCATGTGAGAGCATGTATGTGAGAGTATGCATGTGAGAGCATGTATGTGAGAGTATGCATGTGAGAGCATGTATGTGAGAGTATGCATGTGAGAGCATGTATGTGAGAGTATGCATGTGAGAGCATGTATGTGAGAGTATGCATGTGTGAGCATGTATGTGAGAGTATGCATGTGTGAGCATGTATGTGAGAGTATGCATGTGTGAGCATGTATGTGAGAGTATGCATGTGTGAGCATGTATGTGAGAGTATGCATGTGAGAGCATGTATGTGAGAGTATGCATGTGTGAGCATGCATGTGAGAGTATGCATGTGTGAGCATGTATGTGAGAGTATGCATGTGAGAGCATGTATGTTAGAGCATGTATGTGAGCTTAATTGCCATCATTACAGAGAGCATAGATGGCGAATGCAGGGAGGTTGATTTGTACAGGCGAGTGTGGTGTGTGGGATCCCTGACACATCTGAGATGTACACCACATGATCACGGCTGCTTTTGAGGTGCTGCAAAACGCATAAGTGTGGTTAGGACGTACATGCGAGAGTGGCATCAGGGATCCCTGACACATCTAACATATACACCACACTATGGTTTGCTTGGCTCATAGTTATAGGGCAGCAGTATTAGAAGAAGCCTCTTTGCATACTTACATGCGAGAGTGGCGTCTGGGATCGTTGACACATCGGACATGTACACCACACGGTGGTCTGCTTGGCTCATTGTTATAGCGCAGCAGTATTAGAAGAAAAGAGCCTCCTTGCATACGTACAGGCGAGAGTGGCATGTGGGATCCTTGAGACATCTGACATGTACACCACTCGCTCATGGCTTCCGAACTCAAACCCCAATGCTATGTAGTCCTCTCCGTGCTGCACCTGCAGAGCATGACGCATTGTAGTTATGGTGCAGAACGCATAGTGCATGGTACGTAGATAGTGCATGGTATGCAGATAAGTATGGTGCAGAATGGGTAGTCCATGGCACATGAGAGTGATGCTGCAACATGGGAAGTGAATCAACAGCGATGGGCAGCATGTTTGCGACGAGCATGGATGCATGTGCACAAGTGGCATGGATGCATGTGAACCATACAGGAAGGGGAGTGACTGTGAGACCAGCCGCATTGAAGGGAGCAGCAACGCTCTGTTGAATGATCTGCCAGTCAATTCGAGACACCCGCCGAGATATTTTTTTCACGCCGCCCTCTCCTCCCTCCGTCATCACCCCTGCATCTGCTGCCCTTAGCTCAGGTGAACTATCCTGGCTCACCCCACATGGCTGGTTACCAGTGGCAGGAGCAGGGCCAGCAGCGGCAGCAGTGGCAGCAGAAGCAGCAGGAGGGGCAGCGGAGGGAGGTGCGATCGAGGGAGCAGGGCGAGGGGGTGTGAGAGTGAGGTAGGGGAATTTGTCTCGAACGCTGTTTGTGGACGGGGAGAGGCAGGAGGAAAGGGGCGAGGGGGCGAGAGAGGTGAACTTGCGACAGGGTCGGAAGGGAGAGAGGGAGCAGGAGAGAGATAGACGAATGTGCTTTGGTGATGTCGAAAGGGGAAAAGAATGCAGGCACGGAAACGTCATAAAGGCGGGAGAACACAGCAACAGAAAGTTTCAAAATGGGTGAAAAGGAAACTCAGGCACGGAAACATCGGAAGAGGGGGAGAAGAACGGGGCTCATGCACCTGGGCTGGTGACTGGTCATGCAGTGGTGCTAGTCACACCTGCCATGCCATGGGAATGGGGAAGAACGCCAGCTCGCTGACCTGGCCATGCAGCTCGCTGACCTGGCCATGCAGCGGTGGGAGAGGAAGACAGAGAGCGGCTCCACGTGGTCTGCTGGGTGGCGGGGAATGCGCTGCAGCCCTCTGACGTCATCCAGGCCCAGTATGGCGTCCGCATGCTCGTGCGTGAGAATCAGCTGTAGTGAAAAGAAGGGGGGAGAGGAGAAAGGGGGTTAGAGGGGAGGTGAGAGGCGGGGGAGAAAGGGGAGGGGGGGACAAGGCATAATCGGGAAGGAGAATGGGGGAGGAAAGAGAGGGAATTGGGGGGGGAACATTGAGGAGATTCAGTGCGGTTGACTGAGGAGAGAGCAGGATTGAGAGAGAAAAAGGTGACTCTGGATGGGCATCCTTGCGAGGGTTTCTTGCATTGCAAGACTTTCTGCGCCAATAGAGGGTATTTTGCATCCATACCCCTTTCAACGATGGGTATCCTACAGACATACCGCATCAATGGTGGGTATCTTGCAGCGCACGAACCACCGTAGCACCTGCTCCCGAAAGCACTTGCCCGCGTCAATCTGAATGTGCCGCCACTCCTCGCCAGGAGCCAGATCCAGGCTGAAAGAATCCGTCAGCTTGACAGAATCCGTCCAATTGACTGATTCAGTCAGGAGTGTTGAAACACCACCAGAGCCATTAGCCGCCTCTCTGGAACTCGGCTGAGCTACCCCGTTGGAATCACAACCCTCGTCTGCGTGGTCACTGCGTACAGTCACACCTCCATCCGCTGTATAAGGTCGGAACCGATATCGGATCATAAGTGACGGGTTGCATCTGCAGGCGAGGAAACAGAAAATGGTTGTTACCAGCAGGTCGCATGTTACGAGCAGATCACAGACGAAGTTAAATTCTCGCCACCCTGGAATGCGAGAAGGGGCAGAAGCGACGCGTTACACGGTTACCAACACGGCGAACGGCGGTAACCAGCACGCCACGTTACAAGCAATCACCAAAAGCCCGAATTCGCTCATTACCGGTGATTCGGGTTTCGTTCAGGCGGTTCCGCGAGTGCCTTGTGGCACACGGCGGGTGACTTTTGAGTCGACTCAAAAGTCAATTCGCTCATTACCTGTAGTTTGGATTTCGCTCCGGCGGTTCCGCGAGGGCCTTGTGGCACACGGCACACGGCGGGTCAGTCGGCTGTGTGACGCACAGAGGAGTCGGGACTCCCGTCGACGACCCCGTTCCTAGGAATATGATCTCCGACAACCCGATATTGGAGCGTTCATTACTGGAGCGCGATGCCATGGAGGAACGCTGGTTGAAGCCAAATATCTACTACGGCTGACACGTGCCAAATTACGTAGACAATGTAGTCAAAATGAAGCATGCTTCACGAAATGCGCGTTAATCATGCCACCGATACTTCTATCCATTATGTCGTGTGCTGGATAAATCAAAATGCCTGAGGGAAAAGCACATACGCTAACTCCAACGCTTCAGCGATCAGAAGCAAGCGATCATCCCCGTTTGTGAGGTCCTTCATTCTGTGTAAAGATGTAAGCCACTTCCGCAGTAGGGCGTTTTAAGCTAACTCACCGGTATCAAACCTAGATTCTGGGATAACATAACAAATCAGCATTATATCGATACATGTTTTAGTGGTGATGGATATTAGTAGTTCGCTCTAGCAATCTCGGACCTGCAGGGCATAAGGCATGCCCTAATTAAATTACACAATAACACCATCCCTTCATCTCTCAGCCTTGTACTAGTCTCTGCCACTTCCCTTCCCTCGATCCTTCTTTCACCTCACCCACTGCCGCCTCCTCCCTGCTGCCGCCCCTCCTCCCCCTCCTCCCTGTGCTCCCTCCCTCCTCGCTCTCATTCGCTGCTGAAGTGTCATGCCCTGATTGGCTCCTGTGGGAGGGTGATAGGTGGAAGAGAGGAGACACGTAACCTTGCAATGGCAAAAACATAAAGCACGAGCGCCGGCAATAGGAGCACCTTGACGATCATGGGGCCAAGCATCCCTGAACCAATGGCACTCCAACATCTCAGAGTATCCTCGCCATCACAACCCTCTCCTCACCTGATTTCCACGCCATTGGATGAGTACTAGCTGCATCCATCGCCCCGTCCCTTCCATTTTTGAGGCGCCTCAAAAGTCGCTCACCTGATTTCCACGCCATTGGATAAGTACTTGCCGCATCCATCGCCCCATCCCCTCCTTCCTTTCCTTCACCTGCTCCTCCCCTTCCTCCCCTCCCTTCTGATCCTGCCACTCCTCCGTCTCCCCCTCCTTCTCCCACACCCCCATTGTCTGACCTCACACCACTCTCTGCTGCTCCTTCCCCAAGTGACCCTCCTGCCCTCCCAATGCCTCCCGACCCTCTGCTCCATCCCCCTCTCACAGGGGACACAGCTCGTATGCTCAAACCTCCTCCCCCCCCTGCCTCCTCCCCTCCAATATGTTCTTTCGTCCCCTCTTTTCCGCTTGCCTCTCCCCCTTCTTCTGCTCCCGCTGCGTTCCCCTCCCGTGCTCTGTCACCTGCTCTGTCTCCTCCATTCCTTCCCCCCGCACCCTCGTCCGAACTCCACCCACCAATCGGCGTCTCCTCATCCAGGCTCGGCAGGCCCTTCCGAGCCTTCTCATACCGAGCCACGTCGGTTCGGGCAGGGGTGGGGCCCAGAAGCAGCGGGTCAGGTTCGGAGCGCATGCTCTGAGCGCTGCTGCTGGGGGTGCGGTCTAGAGAGAGGGGTGTGATGACACCAGGGGAAGGAGCAGAGGAGGCGTGGGAGTAGGCGGAGGAAGGGAGGGAGATGATGTGGGGGGAAGAGGCTGGGGATTCAGAGCCTACACTAACACCAGTGCCTGCTCCTGCTGCTCCTGCTGCTGCTCCTGCTGCTCCAACCGCCCCCTCGGCTGCTTTCCTTCCAGTACCTCTCGTTGCTGCGGCCATTACTGTGGCTTGCTCAATGGCTTCTGCTGCTGTTCCCCTTGCCGGCGCCCCTATGCCTTCCCTCCCTGCTGCTGCTGGTCCCACCTGAGCAGTTTCAGAACCGCCCTCTTCTCTACTCACATCTGCCTGAAGCTGCAGCGAGGGTGAATTCCCCGTGGTAGCACCCGAAGGCGAGGAGTGCGAGGCGGTGGAGTGCGGTGGCGGGTCCCTCAGGTAGTTCTGCTGCAGCTGCATCAGCTGAGCCTTGGCTCGCCTCAGCTTCTCCAGCACACTGGGACTGCCACCCCCAATACCGGAACTCGCACCTCCTACACCTGAACTCCCACCTGCCACCCCAGAGCTGCTGCTCCCCACCCCTCCCCCACTCCTTCCCACACCTGACAGGCCACCCTCTCCCCCCACTCCGCCTCGCCCTGCACTCACCCCCTCCCTCAACGCCAACCTATCCCTGCCGGCGCCACTCCCCTCCGCCGCCGCTGCGTCCGCGGTGACCCCTGCAGCCCTCTTGACGGTTTCAAAGAAGAGGGCCGTGCGGGCAGCACGAGCAGGCGAGGGCGAGGCAGAGGGAGACGGCCCGTACCCCACTCCACCTGATGCCGCTGACGGCCCGTACCCCACTCCACCTGATGCCGCTGACGGCCCGTACCCCACTCCACCTGATGCTGCTGCTGCCGACGCCCCTGCCGCTGCGTTTATCGAGGACGGCTTTATGGGGGACAGAGCAGAGGAGGGGGGCCGGGCGGGAGAGCCTGACGCGGCTCCTGCTGCTGCTGCTGCCTTGAAAGGGCTGCCAAATGCTGCTGTGCTGGGGATGTTATCAGCACCATCATATGAGCTCTTGGTGACCTGTGCAGTAATCCCTGCAGCGATCTCCCTCTCCCGCTCCCTTGCCCCTCGACTCCATGCCCTCACAGGGGATGGAGTCCCTACACTCGCCCCTGCCTCACCTCCTGCATCCCTCTCACTCGCACCTCCTACTGCTCCTGATGCTCCCTCCACTCCTCCCACAACGTCCAGCCTCACCACCCCTTCCTCTGCTGCTGCCTCTGCCTCTCCCTCCCCACTCCCACCCACCCCTGCTGCCCTTTCACCACCTCCTGCTTCCCATCCCGGATTCACATTTCCTCCCACGTCCCTCTCGCCTTCCCACCCTCCCATTCCACCCGGCTCCTCCCCACTAATCCTCTCACCTTCCCTCACTCCTGCTCCTCTGCAAACCTCCCCACTACCCCCCTCGCCAGTCCCCCCTCCCAGCTCACTACACTCCTCCCCACTCACCCTCCCCCCCTTGAGGCCGCTTTTGAGAACTCTCGGAAGTGATTTCACCTCGCCAGTCCCCCCTCCCAGCTCACTACACTCCTCCCCACTCACCCGCCCCCCCTGGAGGTCATACACAGCAACCAGGTGGTGGGTGGAGCGGCAGGGGCGCAGCACTGGCGCCAGGCGGGGGGGCAGGGGGAGGGGCGAGTGTGCGGGCAGGGGAGAGGAGAGGGTGGCGGGTGCAGGGGGGAGAGAGGCGAGGGTGGCGGGTGCAGGGAGGGGAGGGGAGAGAATGGAAGGGTCAGAAGCAGGCATGGGGGGGGTGGAGCGCGGAGGAGCGTCCACACTGGTGGCAGTGCGTTTCTCAGGGACTGCCACTGTGGCTGCTGGGGCTGCTGGGGCGGCTGCGGCTGCTGAGGCAGCTGGTGGGGTTCCTTGGGCCGTGGTTATGCTGGATGCATGGTGAGCACCGCTGGGCTGCTGTGGCTCACTGAGAGTACCTGTAGCGGGCTGGGACTTGGCAGTAGCGGCAGCAGCAGTGGGCGCATCAGATACAGGAGCGGGTGCCGCGGTAGCAACATGCTGATGTGCGTGCTGCGCGGACAGAAGGCCGTGGTGTTGCATGAAGGCCGTGCGTGCAGCGATGAGCGCAGAGGCAGGCTGCATTGGGGGGGGAGAAGCAGACGAGAGGGGAGGGCGGGGTGGAAGGGAAGGACAGAGAGGGATCTGGGGGGGTAAATAGCCGCAGTGCCAAAGGCAGATGAAGTGTAGGAAATCAATCAGAAACACCCTGTGCAGGGGAGTTGCTACTTCATCTGTAGCAACTCCTTGTGTGTAACACTTGTAGGCCAGCCAGGTCAAACTGCTGCAGCGCCACAGGCGCGTGGTGTTGTGGTGAATCCTCAGGACCACCCAGCAGCCACTCACATTACATGGTAACCAGCCAGCCACCCACCTGAGCGTCACACTTGTCTGCAAGGTCGAACAGCTGCAGCGCCACAGGCACTTGGTGTGTTGGCAGACTCTCATAAACATCCTACGGCCACTCGCGTTACATGGTAACCAGCTACTCACCTGAGCGTCACACTTGTCCGCCAGGTCAAACAGCTGCAGCGCCACAGGCACGTGGGGTTGTGACGATTCTCAAGACCACCCTGCTGCAGTCACTCAGGTTACATGGTAACCAGCCAGCCAGTAACTCACCTGAGCGTCACACTTGTCTGCGAGGTCGAACAGCTGCAGTGCCACGGGCACGTGGCCATCAGCCTCCGCCATCTCCACCTGCTGCAACCAGTGCCATGCCGATGACAACCCCCCTGCCCCTCCTCCCTCGGCTCCCCCTCTCCCTTCTCCTTCCCCTCCTCCTCCCCTTCCTCCCATGCTACCTCCTTCCTCTCCTCCCCTGGCAGGCGAAACCTCTCCTTCCACCGGCCTAGCAGCAGAAAGAGTTGCTTCTTGCATTGCCTGCGCTGCTTCCACGGGGTGCAGTGTAGCCTCTACTCGCAGCATCTCCAGAGCTCGCAAGTCCTCCTCACTCCATTCCTCCTCCTCGCTTGCCCCCTCACTCACGCCTGCACTCATTCCTTCTCTCCCTCCCTCGCTTCCCCACCCTGCCTCCAACATCTCCCCATTGCCCCCCGCACTCTGCACCTTCTCAAGCCCCTCAGGATCCCCCCCTCCCTCTCTCACGCCTGTGCTTCCCCACCCTGCCCCCACCATCTCCCCCTCGCCTGCTCCCCTCTGCATCTTCTCCTCACGTGCCTCTAGCACCAATGTTTCCTGCCGCTGCTCATCGCTCACACCACCCTCCCACGTGTTCTCCTCTCGGCCCTCGCCTCTGCCTTGGACAACGATTGCGGTGCTAGCAGCAGCACTGGCACTAGCAGCAGCAGCGGCAGACGCACTGCTGTCGTCCCGCCTCAACTCCCCTCCATACTCTTCCTCTTCTCCAACCCCCCCTCCCTCTCCATACCCCTCAATCTCTCCACCTCCCTCACCCTGCACCCCTTCACTTCCCCTCTCACTCTCCCCTTCCATTGTTCTGTCACCCCTGCCTTCCACCATCTCCCCCCGGCTTCCCCCCACCTCCCCCCTGTGCCCCGTGCCACCCCACACATCCCCCCTGCTCCCCGCGCCTCCCCCCATGAGCAGCAACAGCTCATGGCGCAGCGCAGCAGCGTCTACAGGCATCCTCCCCGCCGCTAGCGCCTGCTCTAGCTGCCGCAGGCTCTGCTGCACCGCGCTCTCTCCCCTCTCTCCTCCCTCGCCCCCTTCCTCCTCCCCTCTACCTGCCCTCTCGCCCCCCTCCCCAGGTTCCGCTCCCCCCCGGACCACTCTCTCGCTCCTGCTGCCACCTCGACCGGGCAGCTCCTGAATCTTTTCCCTCTGCCCAGACCCGTCTGCCTGCCCGTCGCCCTCTAGAAGCCCTCCAAAGTCGTTGAGCGAGTGGGGGAAGCCGAAGAGAGAGAGGGCAACGGCCCTTGCCTCCTCTTCATAGTCACATGCTTCGTCCTCCTCCCCCTCCGCCTCCCTGCCTCCCTTCTCCCCCCTCCCTCCCTTCTCTTCCTTCCCTCCCTTCTCTCTCTTCCCTTCTCTCCCACCTGCCCCTCCCATCTCTCCCTTCTCCCCATCCCCATCCGCGCCTGCATCACCAGCCGCCACCGCTGCCGCAGCAGCAGCAGAAGCAGCAGCAGAAGCAGCAGCAGAAGCACCAGTGCTCTCTACCCCACTATTTCCTCCCGCCACCAACATCCCTTTCTCCTCACCTCCAACCAGACCCACCTCCCTCTCCCCTTCACCATGCCTCTCCCCCTCCCTCTTCCGTTCCCCCTCCCCCTCCCCCTGCCTCTCCTCCCCCTCCATCTGCAGCGTGGCCAGGGTGCGAAACAGGAAGTCGCCCCCTCCCCTGTAGCGGTAGGCTGTGGCAGCCCGACCCAGGGCGCCAGGCTTGCACACAGCCTCCACCAGGCTCGGGGGGAGAAGACCTGCCTTGGCCGCAGCAGCATCAGCATCGGCATCAGCTTCGGCAGTAGCAGCGGATTCGCCAGCAGCAGCAACTACAGTAGCAGCAGCAGCGGATTCACCAGCGTCATCAGCACTAGCACGATCACTACCAGCAGCACGCGCAGCACCTTCGGGAGCACCCTCAGCAACACCCTCCCCCCTGCCCCCTTCCCGTCTGGCCCCTCCCTCCTCTGCTTTCAGCACCTTGGTCCGGCAAAGAATGCCCTTAACGGACCTGCTTATAAGGGGACCTCCACCCGCCCCATCCGCAGCACCAGCGCCACCAATGCCAGCAGCGCTGGTAGAAGCACCAGCAGCACCAGCACCAGCACCAGCACCAGCAGCAGCAGCCGGGGTGGCAGGGCCGGCAGTGGCAATGAAAAGAACGTCCTCTTTGAGGGGGCCAGCAGAGTCGGCCTCTTTGAGTCTTCTGAGCAGCCCCGCGCGCAGAGCAGCAGGCAGGGGCGCGAAGGGATCACCGGGGGGACTGGTGGTGGGGACCAGGGCGTGTGACTCGGGGTGTGCAGGTGAGAGCAGCTGCGAGTGGGGATGCGTGTGTGCGTGAGCAGTATGGGCGTGAGAGGTGTGCGTGTGGGCGGTGTGGGCAGTGTGAGAATGAGCAGAGTGCGATTGAGCGATGTGCAGAACGGTGGTGGGGCTCGATGGGTGGAATGGTGTGTGGGGATGCGTAACACTGTGCGGGTGGTAACCCAAGGCATGTTGCCCCTTGGATCTCTGTGCGGGTGGCAGCAGGTCAGGTGGGGCACCCATGGCATGAGGCTCGAGATCTGCTGGCTCTGATGCATACACATGCAGGGGAACGGCTGCTGTAGCAGCAGCAGCATCACCACCATCTGACGCACTTGCACCATTCGAGACGCCTCTACTGCGGTCATTCACATCGTTGGACGGATCGGCATGGCGTTCCCCATCCATCCCACTGCTGTAGTCACCAACACCACCACCACCAGCAGCAGCGTTATCAACACCATCAGCACCAGAACCATCGACACCATAAGTGGCGCCACCAGCACGGGACGCAGCATCAGCACCATGCTGCTCGTTCCCTCGCTCTCCACCCATTCCCCCCATCACATCCACCTCTCCCTCCTCTCTGCCCCGCAAAACCACCATTCGCTGCTCTGCTTCCGCCCGCCTCAGCCCCTCCTCATACCGCCTCTGCCTCTCCTCCAGCCTCTCACTCCTCTCCCTGTACCCTTCCTCCTCCTCCTCCTCCTCCTCCTCCTCATCCTCACTGCCTCCCTGCGTTCCTTGCCCCTCGCAAGCACGTCTGTGTGCTCTGTTGCTTCCACCTGAGCTTCCACCTGAGCTTCCACCTGAGGTTTCACCTGAAGCAGCCCCAGCCGCTGCATCCACGGGTCGTCTTCGTCCGCAAGCACCTGCTGCCCCCCACCCCTCCCCTCCGCGGCCCACCTGTCTAACTTCGACAAGTCCCTCCCTTCCTCCCTCTTCGCCCACCTCAACCCCTCTCCCTCTCCTCCCGCCCCCTCTCCCCACCCCTTTCCTTTCCCGCCCGCCCTCTCCGCCTCCCCCCCTTCCACCACCTCTTTAATCTCCGTCATCCCTCTCCTCCTGCCCCTCGACCAGCCACCCAGGGCCCCTCCTGCTCGCCCCGCCCTCCTCCCATCGAGCCCTTTCGTCACTTCTCCTGCCCTCTCCTCCCCAACGCCTTCCTTCCGCATCCTCTCCCCCTCCCACTTCCTCTCCATCTCCCCCGCTCCCCCTCTTCCCCCCTTCCCTCCCCCTTCCCCCACGCCTGCACCCTCCTCCCCCTCCAACCCGCCCTCACTATACGAGCCGAGGGGGAGAGGCACGAACGAGACGAGGGATGGAGCCACGTCAGCAGCGGGGGCGGACTGGGCGGATGGGGGAAGCGCAAGGGGGCCACTGCTAGGGGCGGGAGTGGGGATAGCGCCGCTGGTGGGGAGTGAAGGGGGGAGAGAGGGGGGGAGTGAAGGGGGGAGAGAGCCGCTGGATGGGAGGACGGCGCTAGGTGCTGGTAACCCGTTGCTGGGCGCGTGTAGCAGGCTGCTCGAGGAGAGGGAGCCGCTGGAAGGGAGGGAGTGGGCGTGGGGCAGGTGGTGTGCGTGGGAGTGTGAGGGGTGGGGGTGAGAGTGAGGGAGCGAGTGAGAGTGGGAGGAGGCAGGAAAACCCAAATCGGACTGTTCTTGTAGCTCTGCTGCTGCTGCAGACGGCTGTTGCTCGCCTGATGCATGTGACGGAATAGAGAGGGACTTATGCGACAGGGAGAGGGACGAGTCAGACCTTAGTCTTGCTCCTGCAACGATCTCGTGAAATGGCACCTCACTCACTACATCCCCCTCCACCTTCCCACCCCGCTCCTGCTCATACCCCTGCTGCCCTCCCCTAGCCGACCAACCAGCTCTGGCTTGGTGCCGAGCCTCGCCTAGTCCCGAGCCTGCCTCGGCATCACCTCTGCGGCTGCTGCCTCTGCTGCTCATCCGCGCAAGCATAATCTCCTCCTCCGCGCCCTCCTCCCCGGGCTTGCGCGGCAGGGAGAACCGGTTCAGAGCGGAGGGGGTCTTGCGCAGCAGATAGGCTGCTGCTTGCGGGGCGTTGTGCTGCTGCTGCTGCTGCTGCTGCTGCTGTTGCTGTTGCTGGTGGGAGGGGCCTTGGTGACCTTGCTGCTGCGGCCGCGGCTCCTGCTGCTGCTGGTGGGAAGCGTGTGGGCGGTGGGAGAGCGGGTAGTGCTGCTGCGAGTCACGTCGGCGAGCTTCCAGGCGCTGGTCAGAATTAGGGTGACTGGCGGGGTCGTGAGGGGGGAACATGGTGGGGGACGAGTCACTCCCGCAGCTACCATACCCGCCATACCCGCCATAGCCAGCATAGTCAGCGTTAGGAATGTAGGTTTCGGGGAGCGGCAGTGGGGAGGACGCGTCAATGTGGCTGTCGGAGCTGGCACTGGCTCCATCAGGAGACAACAGTCCCCCTTGCCCCCCTTCAGGGCACAGCGTTCCATGCATCCCTTCTGGAATCGCCACCCTCCGCTCACCATCTCGAACCTTCCCTCTCTGCTCACCATCCCCAACCATCTCTCTCCGCTCACCATCACGAAACGCCTCCCTCGCCTCTCGTTGTTTCTCTCCCTTGGCAACCGGAGTGCTGTAGTAACCCCCTTCATTCCTCACATACAAATTCTCCTCCGGACTCACCCACCCCTCCTCCCACCCAGCTTCACCCTTCTCCACCGCACCAGCAACCCCCCCTCTGCTGCTCGGCCCAACACCACCGCTGCTACTACCGCCGCCACGCCTAGCTACATCCGCATCCTCACCAGTCCGCGTTTTCCCGCGCTGCCGCCGTTCCTCCGCAGGTTTCCGCTTCTCCGCGCTGGGAGCTTGAAAGCTATCGTAGTAAGTAGCACCAGGGACGTAGTACGGATTGCTGCTAGGGTCCCTGTCCGCGTTGTCCCCGCTATAAGCTGAAAGGGGTGGAATAGATGGAGAATTCCTTGTTGCCCTATTCGAGCGCTCTACAGGCTCTATGAAAGATTCGGTAAGGTTGTCCGAGTTTATACCCGTTAAAAGGTTCCGCGGATTCGATTCCACATGCTGGTGGTGTGTCGCTGGTTCGCCTGAGAACAAATCCGCGTTAGAAGCAATCTCCGCTTGTGCCTTAGCTTGTGTCCTCTCTCTCGCACCAGCCACCAGCTCACGAAACGACACCAGCTCTCTCGTTGCAGGGGCGGGATAATCCCATACCTCCGCCTTAGGCTCGGGTGCCCTGGGTCGGACCGGACCTGGAGAACTGCTTCGGAAGTGCGGCCTGGTGAAAAAGCCCGTCACCCGCGCAGCAGCCGCGGAAAAGGGACCCGCTGGGCCTGCGCCCGCGCCTGCACCTGCGCCGGCAGCGGGGGCGTGGTTAGCGCCCCTCGGGTCGGGGGCAGGGCCGGGGGAAGGGGGTTGGCGCGAGGAGTCTTCGGCGCCGGCGGAGAACCAGCGCCAGGGGCGGTGAGGGGAGCGCGATCGAGAGCGGGAGCGGGAGCGGGAACGCGCGCCAGAGGGGGAGGCGGAGCGCGCGGGCTTGGGGGAGCGGGAACGTGGGCGGAAGTTGAGAAAGGGGATGGGAACAGCGAGGGGCGGAGGGACGTTGGGGGGAGGTGCCGGGGGAGGGGTGGTTCGGGCGAGACTAGGCGCACGGGAGGTGGGAGGGTTGAACTCCTGATAGCTGCAGGATGGTGGGGTGAGGAACGGGGAAACGCACGAGAGCAACGAGAACAGGCACCGGGATAAGGTCACGCGAACCAGGCGGACAGACACAGGGACGAACCAAAGGGTACGGGGAAAGGGAGATTGGAAGTGGACGCGACTCGGAAGGAGGTGCCAAAAGTGCGCGGTGAACTGATAAGAGAACCAAAGAATCGCACAGTGCCACCCCACATCAAGAATCCCATACCCGCATATCCGTCGCATACCCGTCACAAACCTGTCGCGTATCCGACGCACACCTGTCGTCGCACGCACCTGTATCGCTTCCGCCTTCTCGACATGTCCGAACCATCACCCTCGCGTTGAGAATCGCCACGTGAAGACTGCTTGCGCTGGCCGTCCAATCCGTGCTTGCCACGCGAAGCCACCCTTTCGCCAACCCCGCTATCGCGAGGCCAGTCGGACTCATCTCTAACCCTACTGCGTCGCCTCGCTGCGTCGATCGATAAGTTAGGGCGATCCGGCACGTCACGAGCGAGAGTGTTTAACGGCCATCCGAAAGGCGACGGCTCCCCAGGGCCGATAGACCCTGCGCCATTGGAACCCGCTACGATACCTGCAGCCATCCCTTCCGTGTACCTAGGAGAGGTTCAGCCAATGGGATAGCGTTATCAGCTTCAGGACACGGAAGAAGCTACGGCTCCTGCAACCATACCGTCTGGTTGTTGAGGAATCAACGCGATCACTTAGGTAAGATGAGACGGGGAAAGTCATCTGAGCACGTTAATGACAGGACCAGGCGTTAACGAAGGCGTTGATGAAAGTGAAGCAGGATAATGAAGGATCGCAAACTCTACATAACATGAAGCCGTATCACTCATAAGTGACCTTGTGAAGCCAGCAGGGGGTGCAGGAGCCAGCTCAAGAGAATTTCATGATTGGACACTAGTACCCGGGTATACCATCAGACAGCACACTCTTACATAAACCAGCAACAACTATTGCCTGAATGCCTGCTAAGTCCAAATCCTAGAATCCGACACTCCCCAGGCCCCGCTCACAACGAGGCTCACTGGTCACTCAGTCATGAGGCGAGCGCAACCGCCCTCGCCTCGAGATCTGCGGTCCCCCTCCTTTTTTCCGGACCAAGCAGACGGGCCAGCGGGTTTGGTCTTGACCAATCAGGTTTGTGGAGCGAGGGGCGTGGCGACCGACGTGCGACACGGCAGGTTTGGCAAAGGGCGGCGGCGTCGCTTGGGTCGTCTGGCGAAACTGCAAAATCGAGCTGCAGTTTATATCACTGATGAAAAACTTTGTTGTTTTCCTGAAAAACACGGGTGTTTGGTCTAGTGGTATGATTCTCGGTCCACCCGGTCCACATCTACGTTTGCTCCGTTGAACAGGGCCAAGCGGTTCGCGCATTGCGGAGATTGGTCGCGTTCCCTTGCTGCTTTAGAGGCTAGAGAGCTTGCCCCACCGACTCTGGAGACCGTTACTCCGCTTAAGGCCAAGCACCCTCCTGCTCTTGAAGAACTTCCGGACTGGCTCTCCGACTTCTCGCCTCCGGAAGTGCCTCAGCTTACCGTCCCGCTTCTTCATCAGGCCTTGCGGTCAGCCCCTCGAGGCACAGCTGCTGGTCCTTCTGGGTGGCTCATTGAGCACCTTCGTGATACCTTCCTCTCGTACCAATCTCACCTGCCGCATCTCCTCCGCCTGTTCCAGAATTGGCTGCAAGGCGACCTCCCGCAGACTGTCCGACCTTACTTCACCGCATCTACTCTTGTGGCCCTTCAGAAGCCGCAAGGAGGCGTCCGCCCCATTGCCATCGGCGAAATACTGCCGCGCTTGCTGTCTCGTTGCGTCACTCTTCACTTCAAGCAGCAGATTAGGGATTTCTTCCTTCCCTCCTTGCAGTTTGGGGTCGCTGTCTCTGCAGGGATCGAGGTTATGGCCCACGCAGTCCAGTCAGCCCTATCTCTCCACCCAGATTGGGTCGTGCTGGAACTGGATGTGGCTAATGCTTTCAACTCATTCAGCCGTTTCGCTATGTTCAACGCTCTGCGCGACTCCCCGTTCTCCAGCCTCATCCCTTTCTTCCGCCTCTTCTACGCCTCCCCCTCTCCACTCCATTACCGAAGCGGCCCACTTATTGAAACGCTTCAGTCATCATCAGGTGTTCGACAGGGCGATCCATGTGGGCCATTCTTGTTCGCCCTTACCCAGCATCTGGCCATCTGCCCCATTCAGCAGCAATCTCCAGCAATCTTCATCACTTCCTACGCGGATGACACGTACATGGTTGGCCCTGCACAGGAGGTGTTTCCTGCCTATACAGCACTTACAGCTCGTCTCAGCAGCCTCGGCCTGAGGGTGCAACCATCGAAATGCTCCCTTTGGGCCCCTTTGGACCTCCCTTCTGGCCTCACACCTCCACCAGACATCGTCATTGCCCCTAACGGTATCACGGTTGCGGGAGTTCCGATCGGTTCAGATACCCACATCATCTCTACAGTACGGGACAAGTTACTCTCTTTCTCCTCATCACTGCCTCTCCTACATGACCTTCATGACCCTCAGACTGCCTCTCGCATCCTTTCTCTCTGCGTCTCCGCCCGCCCCTCATTCCTCCTCCGCACAGTTGCGCCTTTCCCCGAGATAGAAGAGCTCTATACCGACTGGGACAACGGCTTGCTTGACCATTTTGTTCGCCTCATCGGCCTTGACTACTGGCCCCCTACATTTGACCACACTGCCACAGCAGATCGACAGGCATTCCTTCCCATCCGCCTTGGAGGGTTTGGCCTCCGATCATCAGCTGCAGCTGCTACTCTTAGTTACCTGTGCAGTTGGGCACAGACAGCTTCATTGCTCTCCTCATGCTTCACCATCCACGGCTCTCACATTTTCCGCCCCTTTATCACTTCAGACACCATGGACCGCCTTGACCCATGCATTCCGAAGGCCTTATCCAAGCTTCATCCGTCCATCCGGCAGCACTTCCCCACCTGGCCTGCACTCCACGCTGGCTACCCACAGAAGCTGTATTCCTTCCTCTCACAACACCTGGACGCTGTCATGCTCGAGCGCGTGCGGTCCACAGTAACCTCCCCCCAACATTTGGCCCGTTTGACCTCCCTCCAAGGGCCCCATGCTGGTGACTGGCTCACTGTGGCTCCATGTTCTCCGCACATGCAGCTTTCATCCACGGAGTGGTGCATTGCAGCTGCTATTCGTCTTGGTCTCCCCATTCCACACCTCTCATCCACCCGGGCATGCACTTGCGGCTCGTCATTCACGGATCCTTCAATCGTCTCACATGTCCTCCGCTGTCCATCTGCTAACGAGCCTACCAGGGTTCACGACGCTATCAAGCATGAGGTTCACCGCATCACATCGGTGTCGAGAGAATTAGGCAAAAGAGAGGATGAACTAGCAAGAATGGGGATACAAATAGCAAACCCTAGAAGGGTTGTACTCGCTACAGAGCACCCCACTACAGGCTAGAGCATAATATTCTGACAATCGGAGCTTGGTTATGTGGTGCAGTTGGAGGATTCTCATCTTCTTGCAGGACGCCGCCCTGACATCAGTTGCCGTGACATTAGCTCGGGGACAACATGGGCATTAGATGTTTCGGTTGCCGATCCCCAGCATGGCCCCCCAAACTCCAAAACTGCATCTGTCATCGGCTCAGCAGCATCTGCTCGCGAAACCGAGAAACAGACCCTGTATGCGTCTACGCTACAACACCGACCAGACGTGAAGCTTCTTCCTCTTGTCCTCGAAACCTTCGGTTGCTTTGGTACGTCATTCCTCAGCTTCATCAAGGACTGCAGCCGTCGAGGGGCGACACGGCTTCGAGACATGGGTGGTACATCCGACCTCATTCCAGAGCTTTTCGAGACGAGCTACTTCAAGCGCATTTCTTTGGTGCATCAGCGCGAGCAGGCCAGAACCATTTGCCGTCGGGCACAAATACGCTACAGTACTGACACGCCTTCCGCGCCACTGGAACCCACTTCACCTTCCCTGGCTGATTTTGCGTACCTCGGTGTTGGTTCTTGAGACCTCGTCGGGGTCTCTGTCCTAGGATAGCAGGAAACGCTGGTTAGCTTCTTATGCTCGACACCATTTGTATTCTCTGTACAAATATGATATTGTAAATAAAGTGGTATGATTCTCGCTTAGGGTGCGAGAGGTCCCGAGTTCAATTCTCGGAACACCCCTTTTCTTCTGGGTCATTTTTTTTTTGCCATTCATTGACAGACCCACTTCCACCAGTCCACCATCCACTTCAGGACGTGTGTGTGGGAAGAGAGTGTCAGAATGAAGAATGGATGATGCATTGATGTTGGTTGGGGTACATATAGCTAACCCTAAGTTTTGTACCCCCTAAGACAAACCTCACTATAGGCTACAACATTTGACACACCCCCATAGCCTAAGTGAGGGGTGTCTAGCAGAACCAAACGAGTACGGTCACAAGACCAGTCCAAGAAACGAAGCTCAGGGTGGATCACAACGTCACCACACAGTCTGAGCACAAACAACAGTGGCCACAAGGCCAGTCCAAGAAGTAACAGAGGTATATAGAAAGCAAAGTAAACAGTACACTCAAGTCTAAGCAACACGAGAACCAGTGTCAACAAGGCCTAACTGCACACAGCACCTCTGGTGGTCACAAGGCGGAAGCGCCTTGGTGAAGATGTCTGCAGTGTTGGCCTCGGACTCCACAAACTCAAAGCGAGCCTGTCCACGCCTCTGCAACTCTCGCAGAAGAAAGTACCTGACGTGAATGTGCTTCACTCTGCTCTCCAGTCGTGGCTCTCGACAAAGGAGAATAGACGCCTTGTTGTCAGTGAACAAGGTCGGTGCAGAGCTCGGCCGCTCACCAAGGTCGGTGAGCAAGAAGGTCAACCAACGCAGCTCCTGTGCCGCCATGGCACCAGCGTAGATCTCAGCCTCAGCTGTAGAGGTCGAGACCGAAGAGGAGCGCGTGGACCGCCAGGAAACAGCTCCAGAACCCAGGCTGAAACAGTACCCCTGAGTAGACCTGTGAGTCTCAGCGTCGTCAGCGTAAGAGGAGTCACAGTGACCAGTAAGTACGACAGACTGCTGCCCTCCAAGAACTAGCCCCACGCCTGACGTCGTCGCTAGGTACTTCGCCACCCTCACAGCTGCTGTCCAGTGAACAGGACGGTGTCTCCCTGGCGCAACAAAGCGCGCAAGAACGCTGAGAGGGAAGGCGAGGTCCGGGCGAGTACAAGTCATCAGGTACATGAGGCAACCCACAAGCTCTGCGTAGGGACCACTAGGCTCGAACGGCTCGTCAGGAAAGGGTCCAGTGAGTCTGTGGTCAACAGCAAGAGGTGTGCGCTGTACTGTGGAGTGCTGAAGCCCGAACCGCTGAAGGACCTGCTGCACCATGTGGGACTGTGAAAGTGTAATGGTGCGAGCAGCTCTGTCCCT